CGAGGTCCTAGAATCTACTTGGTATAGGCGCTATGGAGGAGAAATTGGTATACAACGAGCTTACAAACTTGGACTCGTGAGCGCAAAGCTGACAAATGGCCTTCATCCCAAACTACACCTGCTGGCTGCCCGCGCGCCACGAGCGCTCGGAGTTCCGAACCGCGCGGGATTGATGCAGCTTCCCCGCTCTGGGAAGCTGGAGAAGTCTATTTTTACGTCACGTTCACCTACTTTGTGGAAGCACATCTGCTCCCTTGATATGCTTCCTAATAAAGCAATCCATTCGCTAATAGCAGGCCCCTCATCACGCCACATAATATCACCGCAGTTAAAATCCCACCGGCTCCAAGTCGTATCAATCCATCAAAAGTATATGAGATCTGGTATCGCACACTTACCGACTTGCATAGGTCCGACCTGCTTTCGTTCATAAAAGTACAAAGCTATTACCTCAACACACGACTAATATGAGTGAAGAGGTGCGGTTGCATACACCTATGAATACCAAAAGCATGCATGTTAACCCCTTCATTACAGAAAGACCCCATCCGGTACCAGCCCGGAAAAGGCGGAGGTTTCGAGCGCACTGAGGCCCAGTTCCGCAACTTCATCGCGAATGATGCCAACGCCAAATTTGCAGCTGAGAAGGGTCGCTATGCTCTCTACGTCAGCCCCGGGTGTCCTTGGGTAAGCCCTCATGTACATCAAAGCGAATGCCCCGCTAACAAAACGCAGTGCCACCGCGTCATGATCGTTCGGGCCCTCAAACGCCTCGAGGACGTCGTAGACCTCTACGTCGCAGATATGGGCATGGGCAAAGAAGGTTGGCACTTCACAGATAGCCCCGAGGCAGCGAAATTCGGCGTTCTTCCGCGCGACCCCGTCTACGGCTTCATGACGATCAAGGAGCTCTACCTCAAAGCAAGTCCCGGCTACGATGGCCGTGTCACGGTCCCTGTCCTCTGGGATAAGAAGTTGCATACTCTCGTCAGCAACGAGTCTAGCGAGATTATCCGTATGCTCTACACCGAGTTCGATCACCTCCTTCCCGAGGTGGATCGCGAGGAGAGTCGACCCGGCGGCGGCCTGTACCCTAAGGAGAAGCGTAAGGAAATTGATGAGATCAATGAGTGGGTGTATCACACGGTCAACAACGGTGTTTACAAAAGCGGGTTTGCGTTCACGCAGTCCGCTTACGAGGAGAACGTCGACGCCTTGTTCAAATCTCTAGATCGTCTAGAGGATATTCTCGAGGACCGGCCTTTCCTGACCGGCGATCACATTACTGAGGCTGATGTCCGCCTGTTTCCAACGATTGCCCGGTTTGACGTTGCATATGTCCCGATTTTTATGTGTAATTTGGGCACGATCCGGAACGATTACCCGAATCTGCACCTTTGGTTCAGGAGGTTATACTGGGACCAGAGTGAGAGGACGCACGGCGCGTTCTTCAGTACGACGGATACGTGGGTGTCGAGGTTCAAGGAGGGATATGGCAGTGCTAGGACGAGGGTCTTGGGAATTACCGGGCCCCTTATAATTCCAAAGGGCCCTCGCGTTTTGGTTCACGTGCTCAAGGAGGAGGAAAGGCTTAAGTGACTGTAGTTTTCTTGGTTGCGAGGTCTGAACTTCACAACCAACTGAGGTCGTATATAGTTCAAGGTAGTCAAGCTATGACGGTAATACCTGCCTGTTGCAACAACTCAAGAAACCGGCTACATCTCAATTGGCCGCCATCAATCATTTTACTATGATGTACTTGACTGCATTTAATCTTATCAGGTCCCTCAACACATGTCTATCCTGGGCCAAGAAGCTTCTCGGCATTCCAAAAATTTCCGAAATGTGCAATACACTATTGCCGGGCAAAGCCAGTAGTCAGCCAAGCAAATAGGCAGAATCAGTGGCTGCGGCGGTGTAAGTGAGGTAGGGGCTGTGACCCATCAGCACGCACTGCTGCTTGGCGACAGGGTCGCTGATCCTAACAGCAAAGCATGTCCCAACGAATCAGAGTGGTGAGGAATGTGAACAAACATCAATATCGTCTGGCCACATTTTGCCACTGCCTGACTTGGTTCAGCCTTCTGGGGCAGAGCGTTTCGCCCGATTTGAGGCAATCAATTCGTTGAAGAGAGCTTCACCTGAGTCTGCCAGTGTTAGACAGTCAGCCTTGGAAGGCTTTTCCGTTATTATATTAATGGCAATAAGACGAACTAGACTGTAAGTGCGCTTGTTTGTACTTGAAAACGTAGATCCGCCATCTTTCTACTATCGCTGATTACACATTCTGCGGCTGCCATTAAACCTACAAGAGCTTACAGCGGATTTGACGAGACCAGATAGGTCTGAAATATCTCCGAAACATCGCGCCGCGCGAAGATCATCAGATTACTTTACAATTCTAATGCCTCCCATTTCGAAAAGCGGAAACTCACTAGCCGCTCTCAGCATCTTCAAGACATTCGAAATTCGAATAGCTCATATAACCTCAATCACCTCGAGGTACCATACCAAACGAGAAATTGGCGACGATTACAAGACCCACATACGTCCAGGCCCAATTGCAGGCATCTCTCTAATTGCCATAGTGTTCGTCTTTCTCATACTTGTCGTCTGGAGCAGGCAAAGAGCCAGGGCTAGAGAGGAAGCCATTTTGCATAGGTACAACGATTATGTCAGCAACGTCGTGGCTCTCGAGGACCAGCAGAGAGACATCAGGAATGGGGGCTATGCCTATGGTCGAGGCTATTTTCCAAAGCCACAGTATACCGCAGCCGATGATGATGGCAGTGAGCGTGCTCGACGCCTGATGAAACCGCTTCCACCGTTCCCTGGCAAAGCTGGCAGATCCCAACAGCAGTCATGACTTTGATGGGCAGGGCATGGGTGTTTTTGAGATTCTCTTCTATCTATGAAACAAAGCCTCGATTTCTACATCAAAACAAATCAATCAAGTAAACCTAGGTCGAGAGAAGCCGTGCCTTGTGGTTAAAACATAGTATGTAAGATCCTATGCACTGTCGTCGGGCGCGCCCGAGCCCTCTGCGTGTAAAGACTTACAGTATGTCCCTTGCTTCTTGCCGTTGCATCGCCCTTTGATGACGGAAAATAGAAGATTCTTTTATCAAAATATTCGCTCAGAGCCGGGCAGGCACCAATCTTCGGGGTTTCTGGGGACGAAGGGATGCTACTGGGCTGTCATAGGTATCACAATCAGCTCCCCCGAGGAGCGATGTGGAGTCAACGATTATCTTCGTCGGCAATTCTGACCAGTCATCGACGACATCTCATCGGCGTCCGGGTTCCAATATCACGACCATCTGAGCGCAACATGTCGCAATCATGCTCCAGCGTCCTTATGAGAAGGAATCAAGGTCAGCAAGGCACAAATCAGTTCTGTGCTGGGCAGACCTGAATTTCCATAAAAGCTGGCCTCCCTTCCGCATGTCCAAGTTACGAGGTTCGTCCTGTTCATCAAACGGAAGAAAGGATTGTCTCATCTCAGGTCTACCAAGCCAATATGAACATTCGTATCCTCCCTTTAACATCTCAATTCGTTCCCAACATGGCCACCATTGCCCCGGAGATCGCTGGTGCAATGGATAAATCCATCAGCGATGCCAAAACCTTGCTGAGAGAGGTCGACTTAGACGTGAGTAGTCCCAAGCACCGCCGTTTGTGTCCCGCAAAGGGACGTCAGCACAAACTTGTCCAAGCTGATCCAGGCTTCGACGTTCTAGATATTCCATCATCCGGAACTCAACTATCAAGAGTTTCACGCGCACGATGCTCTCGTCGAAGTACTCAAGAAGCTTGGTTTCAAAGTCACCCCTCACGCATACGGAATTCCTACATCTCTGGAGGCAGACTACGGAGAAGGCGGCCGTCTCGTCGTCTTCAACGCCGAGTACGACGCGCTCCCTGAAATCGGCCACGCCTGCGGTCACAACCTCATCGCCACCGCATCCCTAGCTGGCTTCATTGCCACAGTTGCCGCCCTGAAGGCGTCCGGCAAGCCTGGACGCGTTAGACTTCTAGGCACTCCGGCCGAAGAAGGCGGTTGCGGCAAGGGCATGCTCGTAGGCAAAGGAGCATACGACGGCGTCGCAGCCTGCGTTATGGCTCACCCGGCCCCAATGTTCACCTACGGTAACGAAGGGCGACACGGTGACGTATTTGTCAATCATGTCTCTGCCACCGCCTTCAGAATCAAGTTCAAGGGCAAGGCTGCGCACGCCGCCGCCTCGCCTTGGGAGGGCGTGAATGCTCTCGATGCTGCTGTCCTCGGCTACAACGGCGTCAGCATGATGAGGCAGCAGATGACGAAGGATTCCACCGTCCATGGCATCTTCACTGACGCCGGCGTCAAGAGCAACATCATTCCCGACTTTGCTGCCGTTGACTATACCGTGCGCGCGCCAACCATTGAGAAGACCAAGGAGCTGCGAGACCGCGTCATTGCGAATTACCGCGCTGGCGCCATCGCCACGGGCTGCGAGATGAAGGTCGAGTACGATGTCTTTTACGCGCCCTTGCGCCCGAACAAGCAGCTTTCTCTGGTGTTTGCGGACGCTGCGGCAGACTTGGGCATTCCCATGTGGTGCGACGTGGACACCAAGGAGGTCATCTCTGGGGCTACCGACCAAGGGAACGTTGGCTGTGTTGTGCCTGTCATCCATCCTATCTACGGGATTGAGGCCAAGGAAGGGCAGAGTAACCACACTGCCGGCTTCACGGAAGCTGCCGGAGCCGAATCGGCACACGAACGAAGTCTTATTATTGCCAAGGCTCTGGCGAGGTCCGCATGGGCTGTCTTGACCGACGATGAGGTGGCATCCAAAGTTCAGCGTGAGTTCGAAGAAACTGTATCGGAGAGGAGGTTGAAGATTTCTTTTGAGGAGGAGATGCCTCTTATCACGAAAGACTCCTCTCAGATGAGCACACCTGTTAAGAAACTTTGCTCTTGTGGCAACGGAGTTTGAGCCATAGTTGTTTGATAGCTAGGCCAGCAAACCGAGATTCCGCTCTCTGCCTTCCTTGAGTAACATAGCATAGCTGCTATTACCAAGCTTCTGTAGCAACGAATCCCGATGAATCGCGTCGTTTATTTCTCTCGCCATAACGAACACTGCCCATTGGTTCCGCCACATGAACGGTCTATCTGGCCTCTGGGTAATCATTCGGAAAATCACGCGGATTAGACCGTCCTTGGCGACGGCAAGATCTCGTTGGATCTGTTCAGATGGTGAAGCAGAAGCCATGGTAACTAGAACACAGACAAGGACAGCATGGAAATGGGATACAATGCTATATGATGCTGTGATCAACTTTGTATCGGCTGGATTAGGGGCGTCTGCCAAGAGGAATATGGCCGAATAGTCCTGTTCAGCCCCTCGGAAGTCAGCCGCTATTATTGGCCAGTCCAACGTGGGATCTGCAAGATGTAAAGTGATATAGGAAAGACTATATTCTTACCTCTCGTAGACGATGTAGCGTGGTCACTATGTCATTCAGCTGGTCTTCGTCAATACCGGATGCTTGGACCCGATGCAATTGATCGAGACAAATGTTCGCCAAAAAGTGAAGCTCCAGGGGCCTCGATCGCGCTACATCATCCATCAACTCTTCACAAGGATACAACGACCCGAAGTAATCAGCGTGGACATTCCGGGAACAGGCAAACAAGGAGCGCGATGCATCATCGCCGGAGAGTACCAGGCGAGAAACTTTGCCTCCAATGCCGCAAGATTCAGAGTCCAGGTCCTCATACGCTATGAAGAGCAGGAGACTCGCGACAAGACTCCTGTTCGCAGGCAGAGCCAGAGGAGAAGAGACCGAATCAACAGCGGATTTCTCTTCAGGAGATGTGCTGCTGGAGAGATCCCGGAGTGGGGACTCCTCGGCATCGAAGAGGTTCAGAAGACGATGCTTGCGGACGTAGTCTGCTACTGCAGAGCTGAGCTTCTTCATAGCCCGACGACATTTATCATCCCAGATCGCACGGTACGTGAGTTGCAACAGCCAAAAGGCCATCAAAGTCTTTGTATGATTACATATCGGCTGTTGCATTCCGTCGACAAAGCTGTTGGTTCCCATTGTGAAATGAGACTTGGCCGTGGTCAACACTGAACGGTTCGGGTGGTTCCGGGCAACGGTGCCAAGGCATGACGCCAGCAGCAAATGCATGACCGTGGCGTCGTCGTAGGCATGATGAAGCAGGATGGCCAACTTGGACCATAAGAAGGTCTTGGGGCTACACTTTGAGAAGACGTTCTCGAAGAAATAGAGAGCGTCCTGCTCCAAGGGCCCAAAGAGAATCGAGCACCGGGATGGTATGTGTCCAGTGCTCAGCAGTGCTTGAGGTGATGCCGCTATGTTCTGATTAAACATAACATCCATGGCCATGCCTTCGTCATAGTGCGCTGCATGATTTAGAACCGGATCAGTCGTAGTTGTCGACTCGTTTTCGTTCACCGACGTCGTTGAGGGACTCCCTCCCCAATCAAGGGGACTTTTGTCGCTTTCGGCCCTTTGCTGGACAGTGTCTTTGGAGATTTCCTTCGAGGGCAAGACTGGAGGAGGCATGTACTGAGGGCGAGATTTGGCAGGGCCAAACCCGCGCCTTCGCTCTCGGAGGGGAACATGATCTCCACGCCACTGGCAGTGACGCTGCAGGCGACTGCATCGCTGGCATGAAGGCCGGTCCTCTGAGCACTTGACCTTGGATCGTGCGCAGGTAATGCATCCCCTTGTCGATCGACTCCATCGGCGGGATACTGTAGTCGTGTTGTCGAGCATGGCTGGCGATAATGCCTGTGAAGTGTCTTGCTCAATCGCTTGCGCAGTCGTCGGCGCGAGACCTTGAACAATAAGGAATTAGATCGAACAACGTGAGGGGTGGCATGGTGTTGACGGGGGGAAGACGGCCCTATAATGAACGAAAAGCAAGAGAGTGCGATAGTTGAGAGAAGTTATTGATAAGAGATACAGGAGAATTGCATCATCCCGGAGTTAACGACTTACTGTCGCTGACGCTCCTGATCCCTGAATCGTGCATAAGACTATCTCAACTCTAGGGTACCAACTTAGCCTGAGTGGAGAATTGCGGTCCGAATTGGCCACTAAGAGTCTTCGGACCGAGAGTTAATTGAACGAACAATAATAGTTCAGCGTGATAGTAGACCACCTAGGTATTAAGATACTTATCCTATCTAGAGATTGTCAACTTTCAGACGACCTCAACTTAGAGAATTGTGATAACTGAGAGCTTTCCCCAGAGAAAAGACGAAATAAGTCTTTTTTTTTTTTAGACCACACAGTTGTCGTATGTGAGGCATCTAAAGCGGAACCCACCCAACAGAACAAATAATCTCGTCGAGCCGTGTGATGATGGATGAATCAACTTTACGTGGAGAGGAGCACCGAGGAAGATCCTCCGAAGGGCAGGGGCGGCTGAAGAGCATCCAAAACACGACCAAGAAACACCGATGGTGGTCCTCTGAAAACTTGCAATACATACCACTAGAAGACTCAGACGAAAAGGGAGATGCAGGAGATGCATGGGCGCAAGAGTTGAGAAGAAGCAAAGCCTCCCTTTGGAGATGGCGTTCTGCCACAGCACTGCTCCTATTAGCCTTAATCCTATCCTGGCTCCCGTTCTCAACTTCGAAACTAAGTCGACAAGACTACCCCCAACCAGAAGAAGGCGAAGACAACGTCCTGAAGTGGATGAAAGAAGCCGAAGTCGCCGAAGGACACTTCTGGTGCGGAAACTCGACTATCGAAGCCAAACGCCGAGGTTGTGCCTTCAACAAGCTGCACAACAGATGGATGCCCCCAGCCTGCACACAAGATTTCGAACACGCCCGACAAGCCGTACTTGAAGCCCTGAGCGGCGGCGAGGAGGAGCCAACGTTTCAGTTCTACAGGGACGACGACGGCAAACCGGGGACTGAGATTTCCGACGAAGAGCTGGATGAGTTTGAGATTTTGACGCCGGCTTGGACGACTGTTGGACACCACATGACGCACTGCATGTATCTTTTGCTGCAGGCTGCTGCGGCGCTGAATTTGGGGACAAAGGCGGATATGGTTGTTCATGCGTGGGAGCATGCGAAGCACTGTGCTATGGTTGTGTTGAATGAGACGAAGAAGGCGCCGGCTTGGAATGATGTCAAGAGTTTTGGGCATACGCAGTCTGGTGTTTGTTGGTAAATATCTACCTAGGAGTCAATGCAAGGAATACTTGAGGTATTCACATAGTCCATGGAATACGGCAGGTGTGGGCAGGCCCGTACCTTCCTGAAGTTGCCGTGAGAAAGCCATATAGGTCCCAGTATGAGCACCAAGAGATGTAGCCCCCAGTTCAGCACCCAGGGGGGGTGAGGTGAACTCTCTTTTTGCATCGACTTAGACAAACCTAATAATGCTTTATCTACGTATCGGGCGTCCGGTATGAATATTTAGCCAGTGAACTCCGACATGAGCTGATTTCGTCTTGAGAAAGGCCGCAGCCGCAGAGGGCAGACATAAATCGCCAACTCTACTTATTTAAGATAATTGTTAGCATGAACCATCACTGCGTACACATGGCATGTATCCAAGCACCAATTAAGATTTGAAGCTGAATACTCCTTGAATGGTAATTACTCGCCCATCCATTTCAAGATATCCAAGGTAGGCTAGTAAACCTTTCATGAGCGCCGTCTCTTAGCACAAGTACACGGCACAGGCAACGACTTGCGCGAGAAGCAACTCTCCCCAACACAATCCAAATCAAAGAACCTAATAACCTCATCCGCCTGATCAGGAATATTATGATCAATCCCATGCGCCAAAAATGCCTCAAACAGTCCTTTTGTCCCATACACACTCTTCGTCCACCCCGCAACAGGATCATCCTCCACAACCTCCGTCGGCGTAGCCCCCGTCCCCAGCACCGTAGTCCACATCTTGATCTCCTCGTAGAAATTCGTCACATTCAGCACATTATCCACGTCCCCGTGCAAAACCTGCAGCTTCGGTCTCGGGCCGGCGTACCCCGGATACGCAGCCTCCACAATGGCAGCCCACTCCTCGCCCGTATGCGTGATCCGCCCGCTGGCGCAGTCGTCAGACCACACGGCGAACCCATCCGCAGCATAACACCCAAATGGCACGCCCGCGAATGCCGAGCCCGCGGCAAAGACGTCCGGGTACGCCCCGACGAGGACGTTTGTCATCATGGCGCCGGAACTCACGCCGGTGACGAATACACGATCCGGATCGACGTCGTAGTTCTGCAGAGTCCAGCGGACCATACTCACGATTCCCAAAGAATCACCGCCGGCGTCGTGCGAGAGCGTCTGCGGCGAGGAAACATCCCAGCAGTAGTCTGCGGTGTGGGGCGTGGAGGGGTATATCGTGACGAAGCCGAGGGTGTCGGCGAGGGGCCGCCAGGGCTTGTAGTTGAAGGCGTCTGTCGCGTTGCCGTGGCACCAGTGCGGGAAGACGAGGAGGGGCGCGTTGGGGATGAGAGTGTCCGGGACGTAAAGGTAGAAGGAGACGTTTGTGGGGTTGGGGCCGAAGTCGGTTGTGATGTGTTGGAGGGAGGCGGCGGTCGCAAGGGCTGGGAGGAGGGCTGTTGCCCAGGCTAGATGGAGGCGCATTGTCGAGGTCGTGGTTTGGAGAGAGGTGATCTTCACGATTGCGATCTGGGGAAAGATGCCAAGAGAACGAGCTGGTATTGTTCTTGAAGTGGGATCAGAGCTGCTTCTTATGTGCTTTTTGAAAGAGCTGCCCCAGCCACCCCCGCGATACCGGGCATACGGGTAGAAGAAGGGGTAGCATATGATGGCCCTTCATGGTGCTTCATTCTCACTGGTTCAATTGGCATTGGGGTTGATTGAGGTTGCATTTCTTGCGCGTGGTTGGTGGGGATGGTGTTGTAGAGGAGATCGTCGGTGGAGATGGACCATGGAGGTTCGTAGCTCCGTTTCCCAAAGCGGGAATGTGGAGCCACGGTGAGCCGGTGAGCCGGGTCTCATCGGTGCGAGAAGTCCGAGAATACGGCTTCTACTCGCAATGTCTTCTGAATCGATGGCGATCCTGGCAATTATGATAATCCGAGCAATTGACGGCTGTACTTTCCAAAAAATTAGTGGATGGATAATATTATACGCTCTACGGCACTGTTGACTCTCGCATCTACAAAGCTCTCTCTCCGTTAACAAGTCGAGGAGACATCACTAGATTCACCATCACGAGATGCTGCTTGCAAAATACCCATTGATTTTGATTGACCAAGAACTCCGGACGACGCAATCTCTGCCCTATTGCACAATATTATGTCAATTGTCGGCCAAGCCAAGTCTATGTGCCGTTTCTACCCCACCATTCTCTACGCCCTCGTGAAGCCGACTCATCCCCTTATTTTCTCTTGGCGAACGAAGAAGCAGTTTTCTGAACCTTTGTCGGCGGTGCCGCCTCCGCATCGCTGTCGTCGTCCTCATCCGAATCTTCAACATCGTCGTGATCGACCTCGTCCTCGTCAATAACCTCCTCGCCCGAGCTCTCATCCTCCGCCGCAGCAACCTCCTCCTCATCATCTTCGTCATCCGAGTCGCCGACGAAGCCGTTGGCAGCAGGAACCTCATCGTCATCGTCGTCGTCAATTCCCAGGAGCGCATTCCTTGCGCCGTTCAACACCGTCTCGGCATCCTCCTCGCCCTCGACGTAGATGGCGCCCTCTTCCTCGTCGTCATCCTCGCCATCCGCGTCCTCGAGCTGTCTCGCGGCGTCACCCCCACGTGTCCGTCCGTTCCTGAGCTCCATCTGCGCATGCAACATGTCCAGCTTGCCCTTGAGGGCGAGCAGGCTCGGCAGACCGCGCGAGCGCTCGCTGAGGACCTTTTGTAGCGCGACTAACCGCTCCAGGGCTTTGGGCTGAACCGCCAACGCTCCGCCGTGTACGATGAGCGTCCACTTGACCCAGTCCATGAGGCTGCCCGCGCGACCGGGCCGTCTGTGGAAGCGGGCGGAGAGCTTAGTGAGGAGGACGCCGGCGAGGCTGCTGTCGAGGCGCTCAATCGTCTGCTTGATGCCTTCGGGCTGGCTGGTCTGCAGGCAGTTTTCGAGGAGATCGGTGTCGTCGGTCTTGAGCGCCTGGGTGAGGACGGTGCTGAGAGAGGATAACGACACGGGCTCGAGGCCCTTTCTTGATGACTGCGAGACGAGGGCCTTACTGCTGGCGTCGTCTTGTTGCGCGAGCATGGCGGGGACGTCGATCGTGCCGCGGATCAGCTCGCCAAAGGTAGGCGACCCTGCCTCCTCTTCCTCCTCTGCGGCGCCGGCCTCGGCATCGGCCTTGGTTTGTATGGTGGTGGTTTCTTCTGTAGCGGTGCCGTTCACGGCTTCCTTTGCGTTGCCGGTCTCGACCTCGGCGCCTTCCATTTCCTCGTCTGAAACATCCTCATCGCTCTCCTCGCCGGAAGAAATTTCAATCGCTTCGTTGGCGTTGCCCTTGAGTGCGGCCTGCAGAGAGTCTGTCGCGGAGACGGCGGCTCTGCTCTCGTCAATTGTGGTCTTGGAAGCCTTGGGCGTCGACTTGACGACTGGTGCCGTGAATTTGCCGGAAGATCTCCGCCTTGATGACATGGTAACAGATTTTTGGGGGGGTATCTCGAGGGAATCGGGTGGTGGAAACAAAGGTGGGAAAAGTCGTGATCGAGTTCCTCTCCTCCAGCAGCGACAGACCTGCTTGAACTTTTTTTTTTCTGCCGCCAACCAATTTTTTTTTCTGGTTGGATGTACATGACCGCCCGCGGGGGGTCTCGCTGACATAATGAGTCGAGGTGGGGCTGTTCTCATCAATGTCGGGTCTGGTCGCGATATTCTCGGCTTCGGAAAGACCTTTCGCCGACGTGACGTGCCTCCATCTCAGCCGCTTATGTAAGTGGAGGCTCTGTCCCATTCATCGTTGTTGAGTTTGAGGTCAAGAGATGCATCTGCATAAATCACGAACACTGATCGACGCGATGGACGACTGTTGACTGTGAAGGGCAGTCTGTTTATAGCCTCTCGGCTCAATCATTTGTCTGGATCTGGGCCGCACGCTGTTTGTCTAAACACGACCGCGTAGTAGAACCGACGCAAGTTCCATGTCGAGTCAAGCAAGCGGCGACGCGACAGTGCGCAAGCCGGAATCTGAAGGAAGCTATTCGCAAAGGTGTGCAAAGCCTCAAGCTAGAGCAACAGAGAGAGCAACAGAGTCTGGCCGGACCATCAGAACTTGAGAAGCTCACTAGTAAACAAGAAGGTGATTGAGGGCATGGACGCTGCTGTCCAGCTACCCTCGAGCGAGAGCTTTTGCGCCACAATGAGCGTTGGCTATTGATTGGCTGACACGGTTCTCAGGAAGGCTTGGTCCCGTCTCTCTGTGCTATGCCATATTTGTCTCATCGCGATCCACTGTCAAAGCATGATTGGTTCATCAGACTGCAGCTATCCCTGTCGTATGCCCTGGCAAGGGTAATCTGTCGAGCTCTGACTGGGGTCAGCGCGACTTGGCGGGTTCCTACAAATAAGAAGTGGCCCCGAATTCTGAATTTCGCGCTTCTGATGCAGAAAAGTCCTGGAAAAAGTTCAAAGAAGCCTGACATTGGTCATCTGATCTGTCACGAGACCTCGGAGAGATACAGACACCTCGGAGCGAACAGTGTTGGCTCAGAGCTTTCTCTTATTCGATTGGGGATCATTCCGGTACGTACCGATTTTGTTTCCCGTCGCATCCAACAAAGTCAATTCTTTTTCTGCGCTTCCCAACTACCACCAAACACGCCCTCACCTTACGACTATACTCGCACTATTCTGTATCACCAGTTGATTGCATCGCGTACACGACGTGTTGAGCTATTCCTCCGGTGTTTGCATCCCCTCTACTGTCGTTTTCTTCCTGCCGATGCAACGGACGGACCGCGTTGGCTTCATCTGCCACCACTCTATCTACCATTACCTATGGACCATTATTGTACTTTCAGAAATGAGAAACCATGTTTGCTCTTGCACAGCCTACGAATTGATGTCGCGCGCTCCGCCTGGCCCCTCCTGCTTGGAATCCAAGGTGTCGCGATGGCTGGCATTTGTTGCGTTGCCTGTGTCGCGCCCCTTGGCCTGGTTCACTCATCAAAAGTCCACCAGCCTCACGCATCTCCTACATGATCGACAGGCTCAGCCAC